TGAGCTGTTGTTCAGCATCTTAGCTGTAGAGGGCAGTGTCACTCACTGGCCCTCATATGTGGGATCCGAACCGGCGCCCTCTGGCGTCCCAAGCCAGTTCTTAACCATTGCGCCACTTGGCCGGCCCGCTATTATTTCTTATAATTGCCTATGAGCCCATATTATCTCAAAAACTTTAGTAAAATATATGAAGAGAAAGAGAGCTAATCATATTACTTCAGACTCATACTCCTCTGTGCTATGAAACATGTATAAGATGCAATAAACATGGAAGCGCATAGACAGGGTTCATTTTGTGCAGAGGCTAGCTAACCCTCACGCAGCACCACTCCTGCGTGGGGGATCTCTCAGGTGGGGACTGGACAGCTGCCCACGTGGAGAGCTGGCCTGGGCTGTCTGGAGCTGTGTTCACTCAGTCAGCCTTTACTGCTTGGCATCAAGTCAGGTCCTGTGAAGGCAGGTGTGGTCCTTATTGAAAGGAACTTACAGTTTGTAATCTATTCAATGTTCATAGAACCCGAAACAAACTAAACTGGATAGCATGGAAAGAAAACGGGCTTTGGCATCAGACAGACTGGAATTGGAGTCCTGGATTTGCTCCTTATAAGTTGTGGGACCTCACTTTCCTCATGTGTTAAATGGGAACAAATAATACCTGTTGCCCAGATGATGATAATAAAATAAGGTAATGCACTTCTAAGGTGCTCAATAAATGTCAGCTATGATTAAACACTGATAATCCCGGGCTGGAATGCATCCCCTGCTTTGAGGCTGAGTTAAAATTCATGTAAGATGCCTGAACAGAGCCTGGCATCTCTCCGTTTCATGGAAGTGCTATCACAGCATCTCCATACCAGCCTGAGGGCCTCACAGAGGAGCCCATATTCCAGCCCTAAGCACTGACAGGTGAAAGGCAGCACAGCTGAGCCAGAGAAGCTCACAGGGTCTTACTGCTATATATGTGACATATGTGACATCCTAGTAGACCCAGAAGGGTGAGCTCTGCTGTGGGGGCACACTACGTTAACACAGCTCCATGATAAACCCCCAGAAAGAGCTCTACTGACTTCCTGGGGACAAGTGTCAGAGAACAATGCCAGGAGATGAAAACTTGACTTTTTTCTAGGGGCTGATACTGACCTTGATGCCACCCCAGGCCTGATGGGAGAGGAACTCCACTGGACTGGTGACGCCTGTGTGCACTGGAGACCGAAGCAGGAAATCCAGCTCTGCGGCACTGACTTCCTGGTTCATGAGGAGAATCTGCAATGTGGAAGAATGACATTGAGTTTTGTTAGTGGGTTGTAGGCCCAGGGTCCTGGAGGTCTTCAGGGTCGTCAGTTTAACACTAACGCATGCCCATCAGTTTTGATTGTTGAAAGAAGGTGGCATGGAAGAAAGTGTGTATCTGTGCAAATCACTTCTGTATGCATGTGTTTTCACCCTAAATATCAGTGTGACTTAAATGCACACAATGAATGACTATATTATCTTGGTAAGTGAGCATTTTATGTATCAATCATAATGTCACGGAATACATTCCTGCAATCTAAATGAGAAGATGACACATACAAATGACATGATTTGAGGAGTGTCAAAGTAACATATGAATATATGCAAAACAGAAGTGCATGTATGAATCAATAATGCTAAAGTGCTGCCAGAATAAAGGAGTGGCCAGCAAGCAGGGGTGGGGGGATTAATTTGACTAAACTTTCTGTAAGTGGGTTTGAACTGGGTCTTGGAGAAGCTAAGAAGAGACGGGAATATTTAGACAGGAAGGGAAGGCCTTCCAGGGGGAGGGCAGTCGAAAATGCAGGAGCTTGGAGGGAATTAGTGAGGTGTGGGAGGGTGAGGCATTTGGCTTGTTTGAGCTAAGGATTCATATTGAGAAGTGCTTGGGAAATTGTTCTCCACCCTTCAATTGGTGTTCTCTGCTGAGACGTTTCAGATGGAAATGTTCACTAAGAAATAAAAAATTTAATCAATTTGAGAAAAAGTCTCTAAGGAGATAACAGGCTAGAAATAGCAGATGAGGCAGAGAAGCCCTTGTAAAATGAGGTAGAAATATTTATGAGGAGAGGAGAGTGAAAGCTAGGGGTGGACGTTTCTTGAGATCTGGGGAAATGCATGGTAGAATGAAAATTAGTCTATGCTGGGGCTTGAGTTTTTTGTGATGGCCAAGCTGTCATGTGTGGTGGGGTGGGGAATACAGAGGGAGAGGGGGCTAAGCCACACTAGTACTCACTTGCCCGTGAATTCAGTCTTTGGAATCTGTAGAGTCAGCACAGAAGTGATCATAGAATATCTGACTTTCCAAATTAGAAGAGGCCTTCAGGATAATCTGGCCTGTGCTCCTAATTTATGTATAAAAATAATTTCCAAATGCTATGTGATTAGACAGATAAGTGCAAGAAATAAGTTTTCATGTTTTTTTGTTTTGTTTTGTTGTTGCTCTTTGTTTGTTTGTTTATGTTGAGAATAGGAGACAAGCGTTTCTTATTAACACTGGAAGTCCCTGATGCTCCCAAACCCTTGGGAATCAGAGTTCTAAAGGACTTTTTAAGGCCAAGGCTGCTATGGGTATAGAAAGACATTTGCGATTTCTTATTCCAGGGGACAGTTCAGATATTAAACTTACAACCCTAATGGTACATAAATAATGAACGATACCCTAACAAAGTTCTTGCTGCATCTCAAAAACTAGTTATTGTTAATTTAGGGCTAACCAGTTTCATCTTCAGTGCCATTTTGGATTGATGGATAGTGGCTATAGGAGGGCTATGCTGAGGAGGATTTTGGATCATCCAAGATCAGCAAGAAAAAGTACAGTAATTAATTAAGAATGTCTGCCATAAGTGGGTCAATGGTGGGGCAGCGTGCGTGTACCCAAATGATCTTCCTGTCTGATGCCTCTGCTCAAAGCTCAACAGTCTTCACAAGCTGTGGGAAATGATGTTAAAAGGAGAAAGTTTTTTTTTTTTTTTACATTTGCTGATTGGGCTAGAAAATGACTTGTTTTCTGGAAACTACTTCAATCCCCTTTTACCTGAAAGGTGAGCTGGGCAAGGTAGGTCAGCTTATCACACTCGAAGAGCCCGCGGGTGGTGTACTGGTACACGGAGAGGGTGATGCTCTCTGTTAGGTGCATCACTCGCTCCTTGAGGCTCTCAGCGGGAGGAGCCTTCTCCATGGCCTTCTGGAAGACGACACTGAAGGCCTGGGGGCAGGAGGTAGGACATTTACTCAGTTATATATAGCTAGTAGTCTTACCTGTGAAGAATGTTTTAATTTTCCAGCCACAGAAATGTTTTCCCAGCATATCGTGCCAAAATTGGACAGTGGCAACAAGAAAACTCTTGACTTAGTTTGCTAAGCCCTTTTCTTAGTTTGCTCATATGAATTATCGTGTTGTCACACAGTGGATAAAGCTATGAGGCATGCAGAGAAGATCCTACGGTTTTGACCAGTGAAAAATAAATGTCTGGTGGCCAAAGTAATGAAATGAAATCCAATAAGTTTTGTTGTATAACTACCCCCCAAAAAAGTAAACACAGTCCACAATAACCAGCTGGGATTAATGAGTGTACCCATTAGATTATAAAATTCTGGACAGTAGAACCAATGTCTTGTACAGCTCTGTTGTTTAAAAGAGACCCTTGTACATAATAGGCACTCAAAATATTTTTAATTAGTGATTTTTCCTTTGGTAATGATCAAAATCTCATGTGTTTTTTGCTTTTCTTTCTGTTAACTCTGCAGTCATTCGATGAGTCCTCTTAAGTGTCTTTTTTTCTCATGGACCCTTCCTGCAATGGTGGGAGCCTAGCCTGCTTTGTTACACATCTTCTGAACTACATATTATCAACATAATATGAAATGAAAATCATATCAATCAATTTTCCATTGCTTTAAACTTAGATATAGACTTTTAATAAAAGTACATTCAGGAATGCTGCATTTTGAATGTGATATGAATAGAATAAATCATTATAAAAGTCAAGATACAATATAATTGAGCCTTTTCCATTTTTGGCTATGCAGATTTCCAGTCTGTTCTCTATTTCCCTCTTTAAAAAAAAAAATCTTAGCGCTTTCTAACACCAGGCATTTGAAACTCAGTGGAAACCATATAAGATTTGTGCCTCAGTATTTCCTTATTTGCAAAATGGGAAAAAAACAAAATAAAAACATGACTTCCTCTCTCTGTTCCATAGTTTCATGGTACTTTTTGTTAATGCAGCCCTTGTAGATTTTCATTCAGTTTTGATGATCCTAGCAAAATCTTCTAACTATCTTCACCCCAACGCATCATGATGTTCACCCTTACTTGGTAGGATTCAGATTAGATAATAGCTTGTTGGAAGCTGACAGCTTCCCAGCACCACACAGAGCAATTTGGAAAGCTCCTACTTGCAGAACAGGTCCACAGAGATGGAGTAGGTAGTTTTCCCAGGGTGGTTACTATGGCTTTTCTCTAAAAGTATCTTTATTAAAACGACAGTAAAGAATCTCCAGTTACTAAGTTTAAACAATGTGAATCACAATTCAGGAACAGATCTAAAGAAAATTTTAAAACCCAGGTACATTTAGGATTTTCTTTACACTACACTAATTTTGGCTTTCTTTTCCTTTCTATCCTAAAAATATCTCTCCTCTGCCTCTTCCTTCTGGTGTCTGAACTGCTCGGGTGCTGGGCCTGATCTCCACGTCTATGGCTTCCTCCAGGAGCTCTCTCCCGCCCACGAGATCTTACTTTGGTTCTAACTATAATACGCCTGTTGCTCTTTTATGGCCCTTATCCATTACCTCTGCATCTTATTTATTTATTTATTTATTTGTTTGTTTATTTATTTATTTATTTTCATTTATACCAGATTGTGAGCACACTGAGGTGGGGGCCAGACCTTTCTAACGTTCTTATCTTTCCCTAATTCTAACCCAGCTCTTCACATATAATAGGCATTCAAAAGATTTGTTAAATGAATGAGTCCTGCTGCTGCCCTAAAAAGTATGAGGGCTGCTTTAGACCAAGGGTCTCAAACTCAAATGCCTTCAGGGGCCAGATGTGTGAGAGCAAACAGGGTAGGGGCAGGGGCTGTGGGAACACGCAGGGCAAGGCAGGTGCCTAGCTAGGCAGCAGCCGTCCCCGAGCTCCAGCGAATTTATGCTCTGTGGAACGGGAGCTCAGTGTTGCCAAATCTTCCGGACTTTCATGAGAAGCCAGAAAGTGGGATTTGTGTGAAATCTCCTTATTTTAAAACCTTTATAACCAATGAAAGTATTTGAAAAGCTCTCAGAGGACCAAGGAAAACAAGTCAACAGGTCCTAGGGCCTTCAGAGCTCTGTGTTCTATTTGTTTCTGCCTATCTGATTCTTCCCTTTCCAATCTCTTTGAGAAATATCATTCCTCCAGCTGTGTCGTCCCTCCAAAATGCACACAACAGGGGGAGCTGGCTTTCCAGCAGTCTGCAGGGAACCCCAGTGAGGTGTCTTCTCACTCAGGACACCCTGGCACCCTGCAATGCTGTTGCATTAATTCTCTCCTAGCCTTTGGCTGAGTTTTGAAGAAAAATTACTTTATGACCACTTAAGTTTCATCTTAATCATGTTATGAACTTCTAAGTTCATACAAAATCTGGCTTTTGAAGAGTTTTTTTGCATGTATATAAGCAAATGAACACATTTTAATATATTCCTGCTCAAAACACTTTGGAAAGCTGGGATGTGAGGCTGTTGCCACAGTGGTCTATCTCTAGTTTTCATACTCTAAGAATGCCTCGCCTTTCTTTGCAGGAATAGGAACTGTAAAATCCAAGCGCAGACGAAATCTAAGACCATGAAAACCCTAGTGGCTAGTTTTTCTTCAATCACAGAAAGCTTCTAAGTTACTGTTGTTCTGGTATGTTCGAAGAAACTTACTTCAGAGCCTTATCATTAACTATTTAAACCTACTTTCTATGATCAAGCTGGTCAACAGGTTTTGGCAATTCTTTTTTGTTTAATTACTGATTTTTTCAGTTACAGTTGACATCCAATATTATTTCATATTATCTTCAGGTGTACAGTATGGTGGTTAGACATTTATATAATTTATGCAGTGATTCCCCCGATTAGTCTAGTATCCACCTGGCACTATTCATAGTTGTTGCAACGTTATTGACTCTATTCTCTAGGATAGACAGCCCCATGATTATTTTGTAATTACCAATTTGTATTTCTTAATTCCTTCATTTTTTTCCCACCCAGTTCTTCAACACTCCTCCTCTTTGGCAACTATCAGTTTGTTCTCTGTAACTATGAGTCTGTTTTGTTTGTTCATTTATTTTGTTTTTTAGATTCCACATATAAGTGAGATCATATGGTATTTGTCTTTCTCAGTCTGACTTATTTCACTTAGTGTAATTCTTTCTAGGTCCATCCATGTTGTCGCAAATGGTATGGTTTCATTCTTTTCTATGGCCGAGTAATACTCTATTGTATAAAAGTACCACAGTTTCTTTATCCAATTATCTATTGATGGGCATTTTCATCATTTCCATATCGTGGCTATTGTGAATAATGCTGCAGTAAACATACGGGTGCATATATTTTTTGATTTACTGTTTTAGATTTATTTGGATAAATACCCAGGAGTGAAATTGTTGGGTCATAAGGTAGTTCTATTTTTAATTTTTTGAGGAACCTCTGTACTGTTTTCCATAGTGGCTGCACCAATTTGTAATTCCACCAACAGTGCACGAGGGTTCCTTTTTCTCCATATCCTCGCCAACTTGTTTGTTGATTTATTGATGATGGTCAGTCTGACAGGTGTGAGGTGATAGCTCACTGTGGTTTTAATTTGCATTTCTCTGATGTTTGGTGACATGCAGTATCTTTTCATATGTCTGTTGGCCATGTGTGTGTCCTCTTTTGAGAAGTATCTATTCAGGTCCTCTGCCCATTTTTTAGATTGTTTGCTTTTTTTGGTGTTGAGTTATATAAGTTTTTAAAATAAATTTTGGATATTAACCTCTTAACAGATGTATCACTGGTCAATATCTTCTCCCATTCAGTAGGCTCTCTTTTCGTTTTGTTCGTGGTTTCCTTTGCTTTGCAAAAACTTTTTAGTTTGATATAGCCCCATTTGATTGTTTTTTCTTTTGTTTCCCTTAGTTTTTGGCAAGTCTTAATAATAATATGGGGACCCAAAATGCCCATCCCTCATAAATAGAGCTTCCAATGACAAAACAAGCCTATACCAAGGTGCTGTTGCTGAAAAACAACTTACAACATATCTTTGAGCACATATTTTCATGGGCCTCACTTGATTTATTTCTTCCCCAGGAAGAGTCACTGAGGTAGATTCAACTACTCTTAAAACTAGGGAGGTGACCCTGTAGTTACTAGGCTTATTATGCTAACTTTTATAGGATTTTAAAACATTTTATAATTCTTTCATATGCTGCTTTGACTTGACTATAAGGCCAAGTACTGGATTTCTTTTAAAAACATAAAATATTACAAACACAGTTCAGTTTATCTGCAGAGACTCTGAGTTGAGGGAAATGGATTAGGAGGTGGTGAAATGCCACTTCCAGTTAAATGAGACCAGGTACTAGAGGCCCTCTGATTTCTCAGCTGCTCCAGTTCATCCTGACACCTTGGCCTCCATATGGCAGTGAGCTTCACCGAATGAGGTGTGTGCTCTGAGTGTGTGTGTGTGTGTGTGTGTGTGTGTGTGTCTTCTATTTGTTGGGTCAAACCAAATAAGTTGTTCAGAAATGCTTCACTACCCCCTAATGCCTCTTCAATTATGATCTTTTGGTGAATACCCCAGGGAGAAACATACATTTTCATAGATGCATTTAAAATGTATATATCTTTCTTTTTCATGAGTAAGATAAGTTTAGTCAGCACTTATAATTTGCTAACATCTTTGGTTTTAGAAATATTTTAACAACCATAAAACAGTAGTTTTGGGACATTAAGGTAATGAGAAAAGTGATTTAAAGTTGGTCTTTTATTATTGACTGCTTTGGTTTTAACCAACGAATGACACACACATTCGATTGCCCCTATTTATTTTAAGGTCTTTGGGGGCAGGGATTACCTCTGCTATTTCTTGGTATCCACTTTCACACATTCAGTAAGCATATTACTGGCCATATCATATGTGCTTACTGAATGAGTGCGGCCGAGACTTAGTGTGACATCTCCTATTCCAGCCAAATAACCAATGAGTCGTGAAAGACCCAATTAAAGAGATGAGGGCTATAATACAGGTCTGAAGGCACTGCAGCTGCTCTCCTGGATTTGATCTTAAAGATCTGCCTTAGCTAATGAAAGCACATGGATAAGTTCTCATGGAGAATTGCATTGGCTAGATGATACTGCTTTATCATGATTATGTAGAAAGCTCGGAAGGTTACCTTGAGAGAAAACTGGTACATCGGATGGATCTTGCTGAGGTCATTCATGATGAAGTAGAGCAGAGAGGCTCGGGTGGCTGTGGGTCGATAGTGCTCTCGGGCCTCGTTGATTTTCACTTCGGTCACCTTGGCTTCCTGGACCTGTTAGAAAAATAAATAGTAGTCCATTGTTCAAAGCTGTCCTGAGAACAGCTTGGCCTCTCTGTATAAGGGCATATGAGTCTGTGTGGGGTGGGGTATATTGGGATGGGGGCAGTGGCTGGAGGTTAGGAAGCTACTATGGTATTCCTTAATAGAGCTTGAGTGAGAAAGGATTTGATATACTCCTAGACTTTCACAAGGATTAGAGTGTCAGCTCTTCTGGTTGGGAAATGTGGGCCTCTAAATTCCAAACCTCTAAGCTTCATTTCTAACAAGAAACATTTCATGGAAATACATACATACATATTACTTGAAAATAAACCAGAATTCCAGGAAGTGTGAATCCAGTAGAAGAAGCATAATCTGTTTTATTTGTTCATTTATTTTGTTCTTTAGATTAAATATAATGAAACATAGTCAATAATATTGTAATAACTATGTACAGTGCCAGGTGGGTACTAGACCTATTGGGGGGGGGTTACTTCGTAAATTATATAAATGTCTAGCCACTGTGATGTACACCTGAAACCAATACAAAATAACAGTGAATGTCAACTGTAATTAAAAAAAAAGCATAATCTAATTTTCTATTTTCTTAATTTTTATGAAAAAGTTAATATGCTAATTCAGAAATAAATCTCTTTCAATAGAATATTCTATTTTTAGCAAATTGCTTATCAGATGTATAAATAGGAAAAGAGACCTATGCATCAGAAAGGGGGATTCTGTAAGACACACCACTAACTACAAACTTTAATATGACCTGCCTTTTGCTGCTCCAGAACAGAGTGAAACTACTGACAATTCATAAGGGTCTCACAGGAAAAAACAATGATCCCTATTGAAGATGAACTTGCAATAAACAAAACTGAAGGAAGAAATGTTACCAAAGAGGACAATTATATGACCCTTCCCCACACAAAAAATTCCCAGGATTAGCATCCTAAGAGCTGAAGATGAGTGAACAATCTAAAACTCACAAATAACTAATTATGTTTAAAAGCAGTAGAGGTAAAATAAATATAAAATCAGAACATTGTAAAAAAGAACAGGCATTACCTGAAAAGGGACTAATTAGAACTTTAAAAAATAAAAATACATTTATAGAAATGAAAAAGTCAGCACACAGGTTAAATAATGGACTAGAGTTTGAATGAAAAGAAATGAAAAGAATGAAAAGAAAATAAGCATACTAGAAGACAGATCTGAAGAAATTGCTACAATAGCAGCTCAGAAAGACATAAAGAAGGAAAATATATAAAAGAGGTGATGAGACTTGGCAGACTTGGCAGACTTGGCAGATAGAATGAGAAGATTCAAAATACATCTAACAGAAATAAGTAGAGAATAGAGAGAATGAGGGAGGTGTAGTGTTTGAAGCTGTAGTAGTTCAGCTTTTTCAAAAGTGATGAAAGACCAGAGTTCTTTCTTTGAAGAAGCAGTCGAGGTCAAAGAAAGCTTACTCTCCACAGGCCCTTGAAGAAAGAATTATTTACTTCAACTAGAAGAAAACTGAACCAAAAGAAAGAAATGAAATGTAAGAATTTATTAAATATACTGCTAATCTAAATAACAAAGACTAAAAAAATCATAACCAGTTTGGAAACAGTTGGTAAAAGCAAGGTTGAACTAAAATATTAAAGAACAGTAACAAAAGGTGGGAGTGAATGATCAAAGTGTTCTAAAATCCTTACATTGTTTTGGAAGAGGCTAGATATATTTTGTTCAATATCTATTGTTAAGACACATATAAAATGAAATATATTTTTTATATATAAATGAAACAATTAAGGTTAATCAATAAAATAAGAGTGAATAACTTTAAAGTCAGCCAAGGATAAAAGAGGAGGATAAAGAAAAATCAAGAAAGGAGAAAAAGTTTTATGTTAGTACACATAAACAAAAGACATGGTTAATAGAAAACACAAATTAGGATAGTCGAAAGAAATTTAACACAAATTAAGATAGTAGAAAGACATTTGACTAGATCAATAATGTTAATAAATGTAAGTTGGTTACATTCAGTAGTTAAAAGACTAAGATTCTCAGAATGGAGTGGAAATGAACAAAAATCACATAATTGCCCAGATTGGTGTTATCTCAGATTCATACTCTTCAAACTCACCTGGGTCCTTAGTGCTGTCTATTAATCTGTGTCTCTAGTTAAATTTCATTTCCATTTCCTGCAACTTGTAAACCTGCTATTGTAAACCTTCACTCTTCCCATGCCCTCTACCTCACCATCATTCCCTCACTCTCAGCAGAGGAACTTGACTCATGCTTTCACAGATTACAAAGGGACCATAAGAAAAGGATTTCCTTAATTTCTGCCTCCCATTCCTTTAAATTTCTGTCCCCCTATCCCAGTTGTCCAAGTGGACCCATGAACCATTTCTGGGCTCTTTTTTGACCCCTATCCTTTACCACATTGGAACTAACTCTCTATCTTTCTAAAGATAAGCTTTTGCATGGTAACAAACAATTAACTAGAATTAGTGGGGTGATCACATTGTAAGTTATAAAAATGTTGAATCACTATATTGTACACCTGAAACTAAAGTAGCTAGTATAATATTGTATACCAACTATACTTAAATAAAAAAAAAAGATAAGGTCTTCATTGGTGACTGGAATATTTTTCCTGACTTTCTTATGTGCCCCATGGTATTAATCATTCCTTCTCATTCCTGTAAATTCAAGTCTTATTCACAACTGCTCCTTTTCCTTTACAATGCATTCATCCTCCCACCCCCAGCTAACATCTTAGCATGCTCAGTCCCTCCCATCTTAGGGGAAAAAGCCTCCAGGGAGCCTGCATACTCCGTAAGTTACAATTCTTTTTCTCTTTGCCATTTCATAGTTTGGCTTCTTTAAAGAGTTGTCTATACTCACTTCCCCTTTCTCAACCCCCATCTATTCTCATCTAATATGGTGTTCTAATGCAAGCTTCTGCTTCTACTACTTCCCTGAAACCGATCTCCTCAAGTTCACTGATAATTCCTTTTTGCAAAATTCAGTGGACACATCTCAGCCATATCTTACTTGAGTTCTCAGCATCATTCAACACCATGGACATCCCTTCTCTTGAAATGCTTGTTTCATCATACCTTATTTACTTGCTTCCCCCCCCCCCCCATCTCTCTGCTCTATTCCATTCTCCACATCTTCTTTACTTCTCTTAAAGTGTCTTAGGATACTTCAATGCTCTACCCCGCTTCTTATCATTGCACACATATCTCCTAGGTGACTTCATCCATTCCTAAAGTTTCAGTGATCAACTACTTGTTAATGATTCTCAGCACTCTTATCGCCAGCCCAAAATCTTACACCCAAAAATCCATGGAACGCTCCTATGTGAACAGCCCAAAGGCATTTCAAACTCAATGCAACACGAACTAAAAATCATCACTTCTTCTCATCCCCCAAATCCACTTCTGCTCTCTTCTTTCAGTTATTGGCACCGGTACCTTTCTATATGCTTATGCCCGTTACCTGAGACATTTCCTTGTGTTTACCTTTGACCACATATAATCATATCCAATCCATTAACAAGTTTTTCAATTCTACCTCCTTGAATTTGCACATAGCTCCTGAATTTTCCTACTTTTTTGTACCACCACTGCCATCCTTAATTCAGGGTACCATCACCTCTAATCTGAATTACTGCATATCCTACTACTTTCTCTGCCTCCTGCATTCCCAAACTCCCCTCCAGATTATAGCTGGAGTGATCTTTCTAAAGCACAGATCTGATCATGTCACTCTCTTGTCTAAAATGAAAAACAAAACAAAACCCAACAACATTTTTATAATCCCCAACTCTCATCTAAAGCCCAAACTTCTTAGCATGGTCTACAAAGCCCTTTGCAATGAAAACACAGGCTCCCTTTCATGCCTCATCTCCAGTGACTACTTCCATGCCCTCCAGAGCGTCTCGATGCTCCAGTTACACTGAAGGGAAACATCCCTCTCTCTCATCCAACATGACTGAATGCCTTTCCTCTGTGTGTTCACGGCTTCCTGTGCATCCTCTACAACCGCCATCACAGCTTGGTGGTTGCCTGGTTACTTATCTGTCTCCTCCAGGGGACCAGGTCCTGGAAGCCTGGGATTCTGGCAAGCTCATTGCCGTACCCCCAACTTTTGTCACGGAATTTGGAATATAGCAGCCTTCAAGTAAGTATTCATTGGATGAATGAAAGAGAAAGAGAAAGAAGACAAAAAGAAAAGAAACAACGAGAGAAAAAAAAGGCTCTTTGAAACACTTGGCACACAGCCGGCACTCAATAAATGTTCACTGACTTTAAGGGAAGGATAAAGAAAGAAGGGATGAGGAGGGGGGAAGAAAAATCAACATGGTCAATTCCATCTCTGACTTTCTCATTCTACGTGAATTGGGCTCTGTTCCCCCATCTCTTCTGCCCAAGGCAGTGGAACATCTACTATAATTATTTTACAAACTTTGAGTGCTCCTATCTAGAGATACGGAGGCCACAGAGAAACAGCAGTAAAACCTGCTGGTCACACAACAGCCACAGAGAAGACGGGGAGGTTGGACTTCCTCTTTTTAGTCTCTCACCCCAACCTCCATTGTCTGTTATCTCAGAGTGGGTCCGAGCTGGTTTATCTGCCCTGCTCATCATTACTTTTCATTTTTCTCATCTTGTACCGAGCTGGAAAGGAATCTTTTTTTTTAAAGATTTTATTGAGGAATTGGAGGAGGGGAAGTGTTAGGGAATTGAGGAAGGGGAACAGCCAAGTTGTCCTTAGTCTTAGTTGTGGAGGGCACAGCAAGCTCAGCTCCAAGTACAGTTGTGCTGCTCAGCTCAAGGTGCTGTGTTTAATCAGTTGCGGGTGGGCGTAGCCACCATCCCATGTGGGAGTCAAACCAGCAGCCTCGTTGTTAAGAGTATGTGCTCTATCCACTGAGCTACCGGGGTGGCAGCTCAGCTCAGTGTGCCAATTTCATTCTTTAGTTGCAGGCGGGTGTAGCCCACCATCTCCAACAGGCCACCTTGTTGCAAGAAGCATGTGCTCTCACCAACTGAGCCATCCTGCAACCTATTGGCAGCTTAGCGGCAGCTCAGCTCACGTGCAGCTCACTGGCCCATGTGGGAATCGAACCGGCTGCTCTGTTGGGAATCGAACCGGCTACCTTGTTGCTCAGAGCTCGCACTCTTGAGTGCAAGTTCTTAACCAGCTGAGCCACTCGGCCGGCCCTGGAACAGAATCTTTTATATTTGAAGAAATCCCAATAATCTGACAATAAGTCAAAGATGTATTGTTTCTGGACACTGCTACAGACACACGTATCCTGCTCAGAGCCAGTGTCTTCATTACTCTTCTATCCAAGAACAGGGCTGAAAATAAGAAAGGGCTTGTGTGGGTTCAGCAGCCTGCTGGGAAAGGGGGAGGCGTTTGGCCCCAGCAAGTCATGAGTTACAGTATCCACAAGGGAAAAGGCTTACAAATGATGTGAAATAAAGAAAGACAGCTATCTACTAAATTGTTTCACAGGATGATACCGTTTTTGAGAGCTGAGTTTCCTGGAAAGTCATTGAAGCTCTCTCATTAAAATCAAGCTTGTGAGATTTACGCAGGCAGGGTTTTCTCAGGGTGCAGCCATGCCTGAACCAGCCAACTCTTCAGTGTGATCCTTTAGCTGCAGGGCAACTCCACAAACTCACTGAGGAATTAAGTTTGAGCTACCATTCCCTGCACAGAACACGGGGACCTGCACAGACTTAAGTGCTCATCAAATGTTTGTGAAGTTGTCAAAAGCATTTGCTAGAAGGTGGGAACTTCATTATGTAGGAGGTGAGGTAGTCGTTTTGGGAGTCCTGTTTGGCTTGATTTTCTAGAAGAAACTTGGGGAGATGGAAAAGCCATCTGTTTGTTACTCTGACTTCTTTTTTTTTCTAAAAGTCAGATTCAGGCAGGGCGAAGGGCCTCTGTCTCCCAGCTGAGGCTGCCAGGGCAGTTTTACCTTTTCCTCAACTTCTGCTGCGGTCTGCTTGGTGATCTCAAGGTTTTCCACCAAGGCCGTTTCTCCCAGGAAGTTCCCAGATGCTGAGGAGAGGCAAGACAGTAGGTTGTCTTCCAGGGTTTTGAGGGTGATTTTGAACCCATTCTGCTGCTTCGTGAGATCTGACTGCAAATATCAAGAAAGTAGAGTCACGTATATAGCCCAGAGCATCTTACTCTTGGGATAAGTCTGAATAAATAAATAAATAAATATATAAATACTGATGGGACAGAGTTCCTTCCCTCCCAGATAGGAAACTGGAGGCCAAATAGAGTGCTTGAGACCATAAACAGACAAGAGAAGCAGATGAGCTGAATACCAACCACACCATTTACTAGTCATGTGACCTTAGGCAAGGTTACCCTATTTACACTTGAGTAACCTCCGCTGGGTTAACCCCAGTCCCTGCTTCTAGGAGTATTGTACAATGCTTCACACAATGCTGATGCTGTCTGTTCGTGAAATGAAACCTACTTTTGTGAATAGTTAGAGGGTAGGGTCAAGTTTCAGTTCTCCAGAGGGGCCTCTCTCTCACCACTTTACTGCCCCCAGATAAGTAGCTCTCCTATGAATTAGTTTTTTTTTGGGGGGGGCGGGGAAATCAGCAGAAACTTCCAGTTTAGACAAGATCTTTGCTAGAGCTCTCCTTAAAACGAGTGGAGTGCTGCTGTCCATGTAGACCTCACCTCATATTCCCTTTCTGATGGTTAGATTCCACATCCTAAGCACTGGGCACTCTCTTTAGGGGTGGGGGGGCATAACTTCAGACAGCTGTAGTTTCTTTGCCCTTGTACAGCCTGGGATTATTGTTTTTGGGTTCATGAAAAGGACAGTCTTCCTATTGGAGGCTGACGCAATGGCCACCCTGGCTTACAAACACCTTCCTCAATCCTGCCGTTATGACCAGGATTCGCTTGCTGTTCTCTGCTGGGAATGCTCTGGGCCGGAGGCTTTCAAATTATTTAGGAATTAGCTAAAATGCCACTTACTCACAGAATCTTTTTCTGACTTCCCCAGTTTAAATGAGCCCTTGGCTCTCTAATATCACCCTGCTTTATTTTCTTCAAAATTCTTATCACCACCTGAAATGTCATTTTTTGATTATATGTTTACATTCTCATTTCCTGTGTTCCTCCACTAGACTGTAAGCTGTTAAGGCCAAGGCCATCGTTTTCCTATTACCTACTAAATCCCCAGCACCTGTAACCTTGCCTATTACAGAGCTTGCGCGCCACAGGTACCTGTTCAATAAAGGAATGCTTGCAAGGAGAGGCCGAGGGAGCCCTGAAGTCAATCTCACATGAACTGTAATTTTGGACATGTATTTTATAACCTAATCAGGTCTAAATAGAGTAAAAAGGAGACACTACTTGCCCTGGACTGAACTGTGCACCCCCTTCAATTCATATGCTGAAGCCCTAACCCCCCATGTGACCTATCAGAGAGGGGCCTTTAGGAAGGTGATTAAGGTTAAATGAGGTCATTGGGGTGGGGCCCTGGTCTGATGGGATTAGTGTGACACCAAGTAACTTGCTCTGTCCTTCTCTGCACACACAAAGAGGTCTGAGTACACAGTCTACCAGCAGGAAGGAAAGTCTCACCAGAAACAAAACATGCCAGCCCCCTAGCTTGGACTTCCTGCTTCTGGAAGTGTGAAAAAAATAAGTCTGTGTTATTGAAGCCACCCAGTCTATGTATGGTGTTTTGTTACAGCACCCTGAGCTGACTAAGACACCATTCTAAGGCGGCTGAACCTGTTTTGAACACCCTTGCAAAATGGAAGCCCACTTAGTTGTGACACAGGCATGTGAATATGTGTGACAAGAGGCCCTCCTGGGCTGGCCAAGCATGCTCACAGCCCTGTGCCAGGCCCTGCTCTTGACCGTCAGCACGGCTGTTCTTCCAGCTCTTTTCTGCCTCTCTATCCTCTGTTTCCCAACTTGGTGTTTCAGGCGGCTGGATGGTGTTGGCACCTGCCCCCCAAGGTCTAGCATAGCGCCCACCACTCAGCTTCAGGAGAAGGGCCAGTGCCCCTCCTGAGTGGCACACTGCCGGGTCTAGTGACACAGCATTTTCTTCCTCCCTTTCCAGGCAGACACAGACGCACCTTCAGCTGCTCTAGGTCTGGCCTCTCCATGCTGACCACAGCGGCCAGCAGCTGGTCCTCCAGGCCATCCCTGGTCACAGTGAAGTTGATCAGGGTAGCCTGGGCCTGCAGCTCGGGCTGGTAGTGAGGATTGGCCAGCTTGGTGTGAAGGATGAGCCGGAACTTGGGATTGTATTCACATTCTTTGTCTCCAATTTTAATGAACCTGGAACATAAAGGCTCATGTGAAGGTGAGTGCCTTCCATGAGAGTCAGTCAGGGACAGAATCGAGATATCTTTAGCAACAGCATAGTAAACAATATGCCATATTCAGATGGATTACTCCTAGGCATGACCAGAGTGAGCCCTGGGATCCTTGTTTGCCCTAATGTGGGGAACAGGGATGGAGGGTGATTGACTTTTTCCCATGACCATCATGTCCATCTTGCATGCACAACTGTAGGGAGAGCCATTCAAACATTATGAAACATTTCCAGCAGATGGCAGTAAAATGTTTACAGGAAGGGGCACCTTTTAGTTCGCACAAAGGTGACTCAAAGACTGGCAATAGTGCTTACCTTTTTTCATGGCTCATGGAGAATGACTTGTATGGGTGAAAATGGTTGACTAAGTAAATGAGCACATCCCAAGGACATGTAACAGCAACTTATGGCCTGGGCAGTGGGGGTGGCTCCTGAGTCAAGCAACCCTTCATGATAACTGTCATTCCCTCTCCTATGTGCCTGTTGCCCTTCTCTTTCCTCCCTTTTCCTCATCCTTCTGCCACACATCAATCAGCTACCTGTACCCAAAGCAACAGGGGCTCATCAAACTAACCAAGAGCCTAGTTCTCAGAACTCAGAGGTCTGGAAAAGGCTGAAGCCTGAAAGTCACTTTCCTCCTAAAGTTCCTCCAAAATAGAGCACTACGGTTATATAGAAAGAAGTGAAGGAGAACCCTGATTGATGGAAGCCAAGTTATTCCAGGAAACTTCCTCTAGGACATGAGGGCAGCTAAATCACTCCTTTTCTGGAAGAAAAAAAGGTGTGCATGCTGTGGGGAGCTACTTGACACTAGCTGAGGAGAGGATGTTCTAAGACAAACATCTGTCCACAGCTCTGCCTGGTGCTGTGAACCAGCTCTCCACAAAAGATGGGCAGCACAGCGGGATCTTACCTTCCTTTTTTAATGACTTCTCTCCCCAGCAGGGGTCCCAGGACAGGATCAATGGACTCTTCCAGGTTTTCAATCAGCACCACATTTCCGGCTTCCAGCGCATGCTCTATGGTTTGAAGGTAGCTGGGGAGAAAGTCAGGCAGTATGAGCCTGTGGCAAGGTGTGGATTCAGAGGAAATGTAAGAAGACAGCTGTGGCCTCTGAAGCTCAACGATAAACTTGGACTGGGATGGTTTCAGTGGGCACATTTTTGTCTATTTAAAATGATATTTAGGGCCGGCCGAGTGGCGCGATGGTTAAGAACTGGCTTGGGTCACCAGAGGGCCCCGGTTCGGATCCCACATATGAGGGCCAGTGACACTGCCCTCCACAGCTAAGATGCTGAACAACAGCTCAACCTGGAGCTGGGCTGCCATGAGTCGCCGGCGACGGCGTAGGCTGCAGCTCCTGTGGCAGTGGGTTGCCATGGGCTACTGTGTGTGGCCAGTAGCCAGTGTGAGCGGCCAGCAGCCGCAGTGGGCGGCCATCCAGAAGCTGGCGACTGATCTGCCTCGCCCGGGAAGAGCGCAATGATGGTGCCAACTTGGGCCACTGAAGAACAAGACGACAGCAACTTGTCTGTTCCCCTTCCCCCAATTCCCCAGTGCTGTTCCCATCCCCCAATTCCCCAATAAAAAAAATCTTAAAAAAAATGATATTTATATCATTTGATACAGTGATCTTATACAGTTTTAGAAATAGGAAAAATTACAAAATACAAAAAAATATGAAAATTAACTGTAACCTTTCCATCTATCATTTATATTTTGGCGTTTACTATTATATGTTTGGATATATTATATTTTCAACTTTATTATCACTATTTCTATTTATTTTTATAGTATATTATTTATATATTAATATTGATTTATTATTGGATTTACAAAGCACATTTATTTTAAAACCTGGTTTTTGTACATAAAATGTAAACATTTCCCCATGTCATTCAATATTCTTCTATAACAATTTTTATATAATTGGGTATTATAATAGATCATTTCTATACATCTTAATTTATTTACAATCAATTACCAAAATCTAGGTTATTTAAAAAATTCCAATGTTATATAGGATTAAATAAACATGTTAAAATCTTGATTTTTCTGAAATAGGTTTATAAGTTTGATGTAATTCCAATTCAAACAATAAATAACAATAACTTTATAGACCTTGACCAAAATCTTAGTTAACCTAAAAAAAAAACAACCCAAAAAAACCAATGAGGATGATTAAAAAATGATAATGAAGAAGAGGAGGAACTCATATAAGCTAATACTAAAATATCTTATATTACTTCAACAACACAGACATGTAGAAAGAAGTCTTAAAGGATATCATACGTCAGAAAGTTAGTGACGTTTTTCTATGAATAATGGGTTATAAGAGTTTTAAAACATTTTTCTATGTGTTTTTTTTTTGTAAATATCCCACTCCCTTTTATTTGTACTATAATGATATACTACTTTTATGATGAGAAATACCATAATAAATGTTACTAAATATAAAACTAAATAATTAAAGGCTGGTATAGTAATATATAAATAGAAAGGAAAAAATACTTTATTTAATAAGATAATTTAATGTGGAGTAAAATGTCATCTGTAATTAATTGGGGAAAGGATGGAATTTAATAAATGGTATTGGAAAGTGGCTAACCACTTGAAAAATGAAAATTAGGTCTGTACCTTACATAGTACCCTAAAATATTTTTCAGGTGATTGGATTTCAATGTAAAAAGAAAGCCCATAAAAAACTAATCTAGGTGAATATTTACATAATTATTAGAAAGAAAAAAACTTTTCTAAGCATGATCTATAGAAGAAATGGGTGACAAATCTGACCAAATATAAAAAAATAAAATAAACTCTAGTATGTCAAACCCCATAAATAAAATTAAAAGGGAAATGACACTTGAACAAATGTCCATTCATATGATGGAGACTATATTAAATAGTCTTAACACATTCCATACATATAATACTTGTATTCAAATAACAGGTACCAAATATCGAAAACCACCTAAGAGAAAAGTAGTCAATGGAGATGAACACCCAATTCATTGTACAGATATTTATCAAGGGCCTACTATACGTCAGGCACTGTTTTTGGTATTAGGAATATTGGAATGAGCAAAAAGAATAAACACTTCTTTCTAAAATGCAATTGATGGTCAGTTAGAAAAGAATACTTAAAGTTTTAGGAAAGGCTAGGATTAGATTACTTGTAACTGATGATACAGATAAAAATGTATCATGTCATTTCTCATCAAACTTTGCTCTGCAAGAAAATATCCACAGACAATAGTTTAGTGGTTACCAGAGAGTGGGGGGAGAGGGGTGGTAGAAGAGGGTAAACGGGGTTAAATATATGGTGATGGAAAGAGAACTGACTGTGTGGTAAACACACAATGTGATATATAGATGATATATTACAGAATTCTGCACCTGAAACCAATGTAACTTTTCTAACAATTGTCACCCCAATAAACTTTAATTAAAAAAAGAAAGTATCCATTCTGGTATTCAATATTTGTTGTAACTATTTTTGTAACATTGCATGTTTAATTTAAACAACCATGGTTGACGTGGACCTCTGGACAAGTATGTTTGGGACATGTGACCAGAGCAGCAAACCTCATTTTATCCACTCCAACACACAGTTGGAGTATTACAGAATTGTACACCTGAAACCTATGTAACTTTACTAACAATTGTCACCCCAATAAACTTTAATTAAAAAAAAATTTACCTTCATCCATTAAAAAAAAGATTTTTAATTGTGGTAAAATATACATAACAGAAAATCTACCTTCTTAGCCATTTTTAAGTGTAAAGTTCAGTGGTATTAAGTACATTATTGTGCAACCATTACCACCATCCATCTACAGAACTCTTTTCATCTTGCAAAACAGAAACTCTGTATCCTTTAAATAACTCCTCATCTCCCCCTCCTCCATCCTCTGGAACCACCATTCTACTTTCTGTCTCTATGAATCTGAGCACTCTAAGTACCTTACAGAAGTGGAATTATGCAGTATTTGTCCTTTTGTGACTGGCTTATTTCACTTGGCATGATGTCCTCAAGGTTCATCCATGTTGTAACATGTGTCAGAATTCTATTCTTTTTTTAAGGATGAATAAATTCCAATGTATGTATACACTGTTTATGTTTATCCAGTCATCTGTTGAGGGACACTTGGATTGCTTCCACCTTTTGACTCTTGTAAATGATGCTGAGAACATGGGTGTACAAATATCCATCGCTTCTAAAACTGTGTACACTTGGGGAAATTACTTCTGTAAACCTCAATTTCCTCAAATGTGAAATGGTACCAATAACACTAACCTTACATGTTGTGTGGATTAAAAAAGCATTTGAAATAAAACTCCTAACACCAAGACTGGCACATCTCAAACCCCTAATTCATGATCCCTCACTTGCTCCCCGCCTTCATTCCCCCATCCTATTTTTCTCATATATCCTAATGCACAGAATACGAATTGAGTGCTGAAACTACAGAGCTAAGTTATAACAGAGTTCACGAAGCAATGGGGTGAGAGATGATGAGGCCTGGGCCTGTGACGTGTGGTGGGTGCTGCACAGATATTCTCTCTGACATACATGTCCGTTTGTGTAGTAACTCCCTCATCTTGTATGTACAAAGCTGCATGGCAGGTACAAAGGGCTCTGAAGTTTTCATAACTAACTCGACTGCTATGCATCCAACTGCAAATGTCTAATTGTTCCTCAGGACAAAAGAGGTTAGGTTTGTTCAATGTGGCTCAGGGGCAGAGGTCAGAACAATGGGTAGGAAAGAGCTAAGGCAGGCAGTTTTGGGCTCAATGTGAAGAAGACTTTGTAAAACACAGAGTTGTCTGACAATGGAATAAGATGTATGGGGAGGCAGGGAGCGTTCCGGAGAGACGGGAGGATGCATGCCAGGCACAGTGGCGCAAGGACTGCTGAACGGGTTGAGAGGCTGATGCACATGCTTTCTAACGAGAAATAAAGGCAGGGCTCAGTACCCAAGCATTTTGCAATGAGATGTATCCTAAAATGGGATGAGGAACATGAGATACCTCACAAAGGGACCAGGAGGGTAGAAACAAACAGTCCACTGGGGCTTAAGATCTACTCGTAGCAGTTTTTTTCTCTGCACAAATGGTAAAGGTGGGACCTTTTGTGCTAGGCCACTTACCCCTTCTGACCAATCTGGGTGACCCGGAGGGCTTCACCATATGTGTTCTTGATCCATTTGATGCCTTGTAGCTGAGGGTCAACCATGAGCGGCCAGCGCTCACAGTTGATGAGGATGGCGGCATTCTCCACAGACACGCGGTCTGCAGGGAGGCCCTCGTTCTGCCAGGCAGCCACGTCGGCGTCATCTGCTAGCATCCTCAGGGGATCCAGGGTGGGGGTGACTGGGATGGGAGCCTGATGAGGGAGAAATGTCACACACACTCAGAATGGAAGCATGCTTTCTCAGTTGGGGGTGGATACACAGCGGCTCACTGCAATGACACGCCTTCTTGAAAGCAAGACCAAAATCCCACTGAAGATTGTTTTCCTGGCTGTGTAATTATTCTGGAAGCAGGTTTTTGTAAGTCCTAAGAGTCTTTTTTTCTCTTGGGTGTTGAACAACAGCAGACATTTAGCCTGCGGAGCCCTTTTCTCTTCAGTATGTTCACCTAAATCAGATTTCTACAGTAGATTATTTATATTTTAACCATTGGGCTCTTCTATGCCCTTACCCATGTTAACAGGGTCACTTCTCTACTGCATTTCTGTGTTTCTTGTGCATGCTTCACCAACCAGGCCCCACGCCCACTTGGCTTTCTGCTGTCTGTGCCTGCGTACACTAACCACTCTCTCATCTTCTTCACCACTTGCTGATGCAAAGAACTGAAGATGCTCACCTGTCTCCCTGCCCAGAACAACCCACTCCCAGGCTGCTCGCATGACTTCTCCTTACAAACTCGCCTGCTGGGAAGCTGGTGAACAAGCCACCAGCCCCGAGTGTGCCTCTCACGGCCTGTTTCCCTTCCCGGCCCTTGTGTGTGCACCAGACCCTTCCTTGTCTGTCTCTGTTGACCTCTCTCAGCTGGTTTCATTCTTTTTTTTTTTTAGCTGAGCCATCCTGCCACCTGTTGGCAGCTCAGCGGCCACTCAGCTCAGGCCTTGACTCAAACCGCTGTTGCTCAGAGCTCGCACTCTTGAGTGAGCTCTTAACCAACTGAGCCACTTGGCAGGCCCGGTTTCATTTTTGTACAAGTCATATTTTTCATTGAGGACACATACTTTTAAAACAACTGAAGTAATATTAACAGTGTTGTGCAACCATCAGCTCTATCTATCTAGTTCTAAAACGTTTTCATCACCCCAAAAGGAAATGCCATACCCATTAGTAGTCGCTTCCCGTTCTCTCCTACCCCCAGCTCTTAGCAGCCACTGTTCCGCTTTCCTTCCCTATGGATTTACCTATTCTGGATATTTCCCATAAATGGAATCCTACCATACGTGACCTTTTGTGTCTGGATACTTCCAGTTAGCAGAGTGTTTTCAAGGTTCACCCATGTGCCCTTCATCCCCTCTGTCTCTCTGTTTCCTGCACTTTGTCTTCCCAGTTACCTCAGGAAAACCTCTCCAAACCATCTCCTGGCCTTTAATCACACCTACTAAGTTTACCAGTGGCTAGTGCTATACCAAGCAAGCCTCGAATGGGAAACCTACCCCTGGAGGTTCTTATCCTGGGATCAGAAATTATTTATGTAGAATTGTTTTCCTTTGTAATCTTAGGCATTATATTTAATGCACTAAAACTAGTGTTGTGAGAAGGGATCCATAGATTTTACCAGACTGCCAAAAGGGTCCATGACACAAAAAAGGCATCAAAACCCCAGGCAAAGCCAGACAATCCTTGCTAAGCACCACCGAGCTCCTTATCTTTGTTCATTCAGTTAGCGATCTTTTCAACAGTTTCCTTTCCCACAAGTGTTCAAGATAAACAAACACCAGCTTTATTTTTTGTTTATTTCCTAATACTGTAACAGTTTTTAAACCACTATTCAACAAATTATCAGGTAAGATTTTATGAGCCAATGTGTGAAAGCAACCATCACTAGACAACGTGGGTTTTGTGTTCAAAAGAGACACATGCAGATGCATTTTGGAATACAACCCTTAGTGTACACGGTGACCTTTGTGTGCTGACTCTTACTAGGCTGCTGGTTATGAACCTACTCTCCTCCACTGGACTGTGAATTTCCTGCAGGCATCCTGGTCTGGAATGTGTTTTGCAGCTCCTGCCTACTGGAGTCATAGGACATGCTGAATCAATACTCCGTGAATATTTGTGGGTTGAGGAATCAGTGATGTTGAAGTGTGTGTCAAGGTAAAATTAGGTATTGTTCTGACTATCGGCTCCAGACACAAACCTGAACCCCCTTCAGTCAGGAACCAGCATCTCCCCACTTCATCATGTCTGTGTAGAAGGAGGAGCTGGAAGTAAACTGCATCAACTTATACTAAGAGGACAAGCTGAGTACACAGGACAGGAGGAGATGAACTTGTTTTCAGAAAGGGGTTGGTCTGTGAATCATGGGCACAGACCATGGAGCTTTGGGACCCAGGAACAAGGTGCGATGCAGAATATGGGAAAGGGGTCTTGACCCTGCTGCTACTCTCAAGTCAGGTTCAAGAACAGTGAGTTTGGAGGGAAACAGGGTTATTTTGGTACCACTCAGGCTTCACCATTTGGAGGCCAGCCAGAAGGTGGCCTGATGGGCAGCGGACCAGAATTCCCATGGAGGGCCCCGTAAGGAGAGAGATGCTGTGCTCGGGTGGCCTAGAGGGAAGGACATGGGGGCACATGTGTCACTCCTGGGCCCAGAGATCAATAGGGGCTGCTTGGCACCTGGTGGGAGAAAGTATGCACGAAGGGACTAGAAGATTCACGTTATTGCTGTGGTGTGGGCTCACTGGTACCCATGGGCTGATGTGGGCAGGAGGAATTCTGGCTGTACATACTTTCAGCTGGCTCAGGTAGGGTCTCCAGGTCCCGTCCATGAGGTCCTGCCGGTATTTCTTTGTAAAGAAGCCGAGGTACGAAATGAAAGCCGTAATAAGTAAAATGTCTCCACACAATTTCCTTTCCTGTTGTTGGAAGTTCTGCACAGCTTCTGTCCACCTCACGTTTTCAGAAGCAAGTCCTCCCACCTAGCATTTCAAAGACCAGAGAGAAGACTTGTTATACAGCAGGCTGCAGAGAGCCATGGATTCCGTCATGAAGAGCACACATGGAGTACACGTTTCACAGCAGAAGACTCAGAACATCACTTATGTGGCCCTTTTGGTCACTGGGGATCTGGACTGGCAGCAGCACACATTTCAGTAAATAAGCACTTGTTCTGTGTTACACATTGTGTGGGCTATGGAGAGACGACAGGGTTTGAATGCAGGCTTCTAGGCTCAGCCCTTTATAGGTATGGAGATGAATATCACCCACCTCAAAGGGCCGTTGAAAGGATTAACTATGACTGTGGATGTTAATCACTTGCACAGTGCCTGGTCTGCAAAACATATTAGAAAATTATGCACCTCTCCCGTCTCCTCTCCAAATGCTGGGATATGAAGCTAAATAAAAGTAATTTCATGCACTATAAATAATTCCCAGTGGGCGGGGAGATAGACATGGTAATTAAGACACGGATTTAGAGGTGCTGAAACATGGTGTGTATAAAGTCGCAAGGCTGCAGCACACATCTTAACTCTGCCCAACGCGCTTTGGCATGGCACACCCTTCTGGGGAGCAGATACATCCTTTCTACAGAGAACTGTTAGGTGTATTGTGGAAATTAGCTTCTGTGTTATTATTTATCCTTTTTTCTTCCTTGAAAGACAGCACCATAGGATGGCAGAGCTGGGGGAGATCTTAGGGATTGGCCAACCCAACCATTCCCATGTCCATGTTTAGATTACACAGGTAAAGACCAAAAAGTTGAAGTATCTTGCCAGAACCTCTGGGTCGGTAGAGGCTGGGGTGGCCTTACAGCCCGTGAATCTGGACTTCTGGAGCAGAGTACCCCACTGCCTCCATGAGCACCAACTAAGAGAACGCTCCAGCTGGGCTGAGAAGGCCGTGCTAAGGTCTGGAAACCAAACAGGGGACTGAATAGAAGACAGGCCAGCTATGTGGTCAGGACCACTTCTTGCACATTTGCAGAGGAGCTGTCTATAAACCAAACTGTTCTGCTAAACAGATCATCTCAAAGCTATTCAACAGCGGGCTCACATACCACTGCACAGACGCACGCCTGTGGCTTAGCCTCTCCTCATTAAGGCACAGCTCAGGTTAGGGATCGGTGTGACTAGAAAATCTGGCTTGGTGATATAAATAACTGTGGCTGGAATAAACGTAAGAAGGTATGGATTCCACCTCCCCTCATTGCTGAGGAAGGTGCTGTAAAGGCTCTTTGATGGAAGAGAGATCACATCCAGCAGATACTGCTTTGCCAGATCTCAGCTGACTTATGAGACGTAACCATAGGGGGCTGAGTAAGGCCATGAATTCTTTGATGCTCCTCTTATCAAGAGTTGATGTCTGTGCTCTCTCTCCTTGAATCTGCAACTGCTTTGACCAATAGAATGCAGTGGAAGTGACCTTGTACTGGCTTTCAGTCCCAGGCCTTAAGAGACTGGAACCTTCCACTTCCTGTCTCTTGGATCACTTACTCTCGGAGCCCTGAGTCACCATGTAAGATGTCTGACTACCCTGCTGGAAGGACCTGAGGCTACATGAAGAGGGGGAGGGTCCCAGCAGAGCCCACTCTTCAAGTCGTCCCTGACAAGGTACGTGTGAAGGAAGTCGTTCTGAACCCTTCAAACCAGCTCAGCCACTGGCTGAATAACACTGCGTGGCCCCTGTAGGCACCACACCAAACAGAATGACCTGTGAGATGAACCTTGCCCAAATTCCCGACCCACAAACTCGTGCGATTTACTGCATCTTGTTGTATCTCTATGTTTTGGAGTAATTTGATATGCAGCAACAGCCCTTATAACACAAGCACCCTGTTCTGACCTGCAGATTTATTTTTTCAGGGAGGCCAGAGGCTCTGTGCGCGTGTGCACTTGTGTGTGTGTGTGTGTGTGTGTGTGTGTGTGTGTGTGTGTGTTCATACAGGTTAAGGTCATGTTCAGAAATGCTCAGGGTCAATAAGTCTCATTCTCTTCTGCTTCTATCTCAGTTCCTAAGGCTGACCACACCCTTATTATCAAACATTACACGGGTAAGAGCTCCAGTTTTTCAAGTGATGGCTTGTTCTTTAACGCTTCCTCTGGTCGCTATACATATATGCCAGCATGTCCCATCTGACATGGGCTGCCTGATAGATCCAGTGTTCCCATCCTCCCAACCAACTCTGCAGGAAAACTGTGACCAGACCAGGGTGTGCATTCACACTTTTCTCAGGAATCAGTCCCTGCATCCCAGCACATTTTAATATCCCCACCCCCCACGCCCCCCACCCGGCCCCAGCCAAAGCAGTGCTAAGCTGTGCTCACCCATTTGGCACCTCCGCAGCACTTGACAAGTTCTGCTAATATAATTAAAGCTCCTTGGCTGCGGAGGCTCACACTCACCAGGCGATTTGCAAGGGCGATGGTGCCTGCTGTCACCTCAGCTTCTTGCTGACATTTGAGTTTGTCTGCCGTGGCTTTCTCAAACTTGGCGGTGAGTTTGGCCAGGTTTTCATTAAGGTGCTGTTCAGAAAGGAACAAGAGGTCTGTCAGTAATTCCAGCCCCAGTCACCTCAGTGCTTCAGAGACAGGGGTGTAAGCAGTTTTTAAGGAAATCCCCCAGGGGGAAGCTGTAAGGGACTGGGGAGGGCAGGGCAGGGCAGGTAAGGAAGGTGAATTGGGGAGATCTCAGGCAGAGTCCCAGTGAGGACTTCAGCCAGTTTCTGCAGGGAGTGGGTGGAATGGAAGTCCAGGGCAGTCCTGCCCCAAGGAGAGAGCTGAGATCTCCTACTCCAGCACCTCAGCCATTGGTTCAGGGCCAGGAGGGGCGATGGACATGGAGAAGGGTACGTGTATTCTGTTTTCCCTTGAGTTCGGGAAAAATGGGTTCCAGTAGCTTGCAAAAAAGGTGCAGATGCTGCTATTAGAAGCAAAAGCACATCAAAGTCTGGGCGGGGGGTGGGGTGGGTGGTGGTGGCTGAAAATGGTTAGAAAGACCCCAAGGAGGCCTGGGAGGGACACCTGCAGTGTCTGCTAAGGCAGCGCTGCAGTTTGGGACTGGATTGTCTGCAACCCAAGTCCTCCCCTTGTTTTCCCGGTCCTAGGAGAACAAGATCACTTTTACTTAATCTCAAATATTCTCTTCCATTATCCCAAAGTATAGAAACATTTTTTTTAAAAGACATGGTTTCAAGTTTTTCTACATTTATTAAGAATTTAGAATTGAAGCACACAGCTTTTGTTGTCCCCAGAATACATATCTACACGCACGAAGACACATGGACATGTGGCAGATGCCTCCAAGTGCATCTCATGTCTATGCAGTAACCCAGGTTCAGGCTGCACTGTCAGTGGTGACCAAGTCACAAGACAAATGAATTAAGCGCCAAGCAGTTAGAAAAGCAGGTGGCAAGGCATCTAATTAATGATGGCAGACGGGCCACACTCATGTATTTCCTCTTCTTCCTAAGAGTCATCTAAAATGACTGAGAAGCAATTTAAAAAGTCATAAGCTCACAACACCAAGCAAATGTTGATGGCCACTGGAGGGTGAGGGATTCTGATAGATTTATGGACAACCACACTGATAGGGGAGAGGAAATGGACAGAGCAGGGCAGACGGAGCTGCAGCCTAGAGTTGGCCTCAGTTTACCAACGGGGAAGCAGATCAGCCCTGCAGAGCCCCATGTACCCAGGGGACTTGGAAATGTCAGGTGTGAGAAGGGAATGCTGAAAAGAGGAGGGTTCATTGGAAGCCTATTCATCCCCACCCCATATCTCATTTCCATGCCCAGTATGCAGTGCCCCCCAGGCATCCATGTCACCAGGCAGGAGGTTCAACAGTGGCAGAGAAAAGACAACACATTCTGGTATTTAGGATGTATCTATAATAACTCATCAGATCCTGAAAGCAAATTCTGCCAGTGAACCAGCTCTGCCCTTGTCTGCACAGCTATAATCAGTGTTTGATCACTACTCTTTTAAACATGAAAGGACAAGAAGAGATTTGATAAAAGCCTAGGTTAAGGTAAACAAGAAGGAAGAAATGACCTCAGGGAAAAAAGATAACTTCATAGCAACAACAACAAAGCATAAAACCCTTAGTGATTAGTTTCTCAGAGAGACTCAGGATATTTCATCCATACAACATGAAGAGGATGCTAGTAAAAGGAATAGAGAAAACAAAAACTATGGAAATTATCACTATTGTTAATGCAAAAAATAATAAATTCAAGGGAAGGGCTAAAAGATGAATTTGAGGAAATCTAGAAAGTATAAGAAAACAAAGCGTCAAAAAGATTAGAGAAAACAGAGGACCCATTCGGTCTAACATCTAAGCCATACATGTTCTAAAAAACAAAATTAAAAAGGAGACAGAAGGGAGATTACCAAAAACATAACACAAAATAGTTTAGAACTGAAGAAAAGTCTCTATGTGCCAAGTACAATGAATAAAACAAGGATGGCGGCTAAGCATATCAACAGAAAGTCTCAGATACCAAGGGAAAAAAACTGAAAGACTTCCAAAAAGATAAATATAGTGCATCCACTAAGAAATGGGACCCTGACTGTTCATCAGACCTCTCACTAGATGAGAGGATAAATAAAGCATTCAGTGTTCTAAGGGGAAAAACTTAGCAATTAGAATTCAATACTCAGCAAAATTGTCAGTTCAGTTTAAAAATAAAGACATCTCTGGACTGGAACTATTCAGAAAATTTACCTCATACCATTTCTCAGAAAGTTACTTAAGAATCAGCAAAACAAGAGAAGAAATCAAGAAAGGAGAAGACACGGGGTCCAGGAGTCACTGAAACCAGCCCAAGAAAGCAGTGATATGTGTTAACACTGATTGGAACTGAGTCAGGGATAAGAGAGAAAAGTCTTGGGAGCAAAGGGTAACTTGATGGAATGAATACTGGATTAGATGCAGTCAACTATAATTAAAAAAAAAATATATATATATATACATATATAGTCATGAAATGTAAAGTATAGTATAGGGAATACAGTCAATGATATTGTAATAGCTATGTACTGTGTCAGAGGTATAGTAGACTTGGGGTATCACTTTGTGAGGGGTATAAATGTCTAATCACTATGTTGTTTTGTACACACGAAAGTAACAAAAAAAGTTTTAAATTAAAAAAAGTAATTGAGGCTATGCAAAAGGAACTAAAGGAAAAGAAAAAAAAAAGGAAAGCAGAAACTCTAGGGTGGGAAGAAAACGTTGTATAAGAAGGGCAATGTAATTTGGTGTGCCACTTAGATCTGCTATGAACAATATAGACATGTTCACAGAATATAAACGGAAGTTACTGATTTTTCAACTTTTTGAATCTGTCAGGGGACAGAGCATGGGACACCTAATTTTCGTTACAGAGCAGAATGTAGATATTTTCAGTCTTGGTGATTAAAAAGCAAAAGTAATGATAAGAAGAGTTGGGAGATGGAAGGTTGGGAGGAGAGCTGAAGGAAAGAGTAATACCTATCTTGAAAACTGAGGACTCCAAGGATGCTGCCTCTATGTGATGGACCAAGAAATAAAGATTACATCAACTAAAAATAGTTGCGATAACGATATTGGGAAGGCACAGAGATGAACATCTATTGAGGCTTATCTAGGAGAAAGTTAACTGCCTGAATAAGAAACATCAAGAATAGGGGTGCCAGCGCAGTACATAAACAGAAGTCAGAAATTCTAACGAGCAGAAGCCAGGAAGACAGCGTCATGTGGTCAGATCAGTCTAGTGTGGAAAAGAATAGGAATGTGGGGACTCGGGTAGAACTGCTTGAATGGGAAGCCACTACTTAACTCCAGGGTCTGTTAACGATATTCCAGACTCTTCTGGTTATTGTAAGACTGGCCAGAACTCAGGTTTTTACAAGAGTCTCCTATTGTTTTAAATATTGGCATTAATTGTTTTCAAACACTATTTGCGTGCCAAATAAAGCACATTTAAGCCCCTAGATAGCAAGCTCTGAGTGGCATCAACAAACAGACAAAATAATTTAAAGGGCAGGAGGCTGTTGTATCTCATTAGAAGCCCCTCTCTACCATTTGAGTTTTTACTTGTGGTGAGTATATGCTCAGTGAAAATGTGTTACTTGTTTTTATTACTATCATTTTTATGAATTGTAACATTAACATACAGTATGTTCATTATAGAAACAAAGAAAATACAAACAAATGCCATTCAAAGTCTATCACCCAGAGATAACCACCACTATTCATACTTCAATGTATTATAATTATAGGTATAATCAAATTGAAATTATATTGTATAATTTGTTTTGAAATATGCTTTTTTTTCACTTTATGCATTTTGAATATAAAATTTACTTGGAGTTATCTTAAAATCCTAAAAATAAAGCTTGGGGTGGAGCGCAACTGGAGAAGGCTGGCAATGGCCTCAGGTGCACATAGGGAAGAGCTGCCTTGCCCTGGGTGAGACTCCATGTTGGAGGTGGGGGTCAGTTAGTGTGTCTCTTCTATTATTGGTGGGGGAGTGTCCAAACCCTTGGGAGGTTGATGGGCATGCAGATAAGCAAAGGATGGAGAGCAGGTTGTTAAAAGCAAGGATACATTTTTTTTTTTCAAAAAATATTTTGGCAGAAAAGAAGTGCCTTCGTAAGGTAGCCAAGTATTTAAAAATATTCTTATTGCTTTCACAGGTTGAGTGGGCCCATCATGTGAATGTTGGCTACTGACAAGGTATAAACATTTGAAAACATTCCTTTTGCACCAAATGTTCCTTTAGTTAAAATAACTTGAGTAAAGAAATCTTTGAAAACGCAGCTCTTGTAATACTATTCTGAGAGAATATGAAAATTATCGGGAGGTATTTCCCTCAGAAAGCAGTCTTGGGGATGGTATGGCATTTTGCATTTGGTGTTCTTTGAAGAGGGCTGCTGTTGTGGTGGTTATCACCTGTTATAAGTAAATCGGCCCATGAACATCTGGATTTATAAAGTGAGCATACTGAGAGGGGATTAGTTGCTTTGCCAGAAAGCACCTTTTCTTTATAGAGAGATAGGCTGCAGTGACCTTTGAACTAGTGCCTTTAGCCATAGACGTTAATCTACCAATCAATAAACCCATGACATGAAGTGTGCGGCATGTCTACACTCTTAACGTTTCACAATTTGTCAACCCCTTTTTATCCTCATGAGAAAGCTGCAACAAGAATCTTATTGGCCTGTGGAGAAAAAGGAACCCTTATTCACAATTGTTGGGAATGCAGATTGGTGCAGCCACTATGGAAAACAGTGTGGAGGTTCCTAAAAAAATTAAGAATATAATAGAATTACCATATGATCCAGCAATCCCTCTCCTGGGTATCTACCCAAAAAATATGAAAACATTTATCCATAAAGATATATGTGCTCCTATGTTCACTGCAGCTTTATTTACGGCCGCCAAGACATGGAAACAACCAAAGTGTCCTTCGATAGATGATTGGATAAAGAAGATGCGGTATGTATACACAGTAGAATACTATTCTGTCATAAGAAAAGATGAAATAGTGTCATTTACAACAACATGGATGGATCTTGATATTACTATGCTAAGTGAAATAAGTCAGACAGAAAAAGTAGAGAACCATATGATTTCACTGATATGTGGGATATAAAACTGAAAGCAACAAAGGAACAAGAAAAAAAATAAAGAAATAAAAACTCATAGGCACAGACAATAGTTAAGTGGTTACCAGAGGGTAAGTGGGGAGAGGGGTGGTAGATGAGGGTAAAAGGGATCAAATACATGGTGATGGAAGGAGAACTGACTCTGGGTGGTGAACACACAATGTGATATATGGATGACGTATTACAGAATCGTATATTTGAAACCTATGTAACTTTACTAACAATTGTCACCCCAATAAACTTTAATTAAAAAAAAAAGAATCTTATTGGACTGGAATGCATGTGTAGATAGGGATGATCTGGGAAAGGTTTTGGATTGAACTTGACCGTAGTGGTGACTGATGACCAGGGCTCATACGTGCCTGTGAGAGCACATGTAGCCCAAGAAGGAAGACAGGGAGCAGGAGGAGAGTAGAGGTAAAGCAGTAATAGATATGGGAACCACCGCTGTCACCTGCGTCCTGACAGCAACTCACGGTGTCACTATGTCCCAGGCTCTGGGAGTGTGCTTTATACTATATACATTCTGTCCTTGAATGAGCAGCAGTATCACTGCGTCCATTTTACTCCAGAAACTGAAGTGTAGGCATTTTAAAGACCTTTCTAAAGATCACCTATCAGCAAACATTGTAGCTTGGATTGGAAGTGAGATCTGCTGATGGATTTTTAGCTGCTATGCCATCCTACAGGGCTCTATTTTCTACTTCTCATGTTGGTAGTGTCCATTTTAACAGCAAAGGTGAGGTTCAAGGAAAATCTTTCAAATAGGTGTGAACCCAAGACCATCCCCACCCTCAATCCTGGGTGAGGCTGATATAATCAAATATCAAGAGTTTAATAAAAACCAATGACCCTCACAGATTTATATTCATGGTCAGGAGACCATCCTGCAAACCACAATATACTACTGCTTTTAAAAGCCTTCTTAAAACAATCAGATAACATAAAACATGGCCAGCAGCCCCACATGTCTACATTGCTGAGAGGGGTACAGGAAATAATATTAATAGGTGCACAAAGTGAGGGTACGTGGCCCAAACCTACATTTCAAAGGGAAAAAAAAATTTCAAAGTTTTGACCTTTGATTCTTAACTACCAGATGTGCAAAAATGCTCATTTCGGGCTGGCCTAGTGGCGCGATGGTTAAGAACTAGCTTGGGACACCAGAGGGCCCTAGTTCGGATCCCACATATGAGGGTCAGTTACACTGCCCTCCACAGCTAAGATGCTGAACAACAGCTCAACCTGGAGCTGGGCTGCCGGGAGTCGCCGGTGACGGCGTAGGCTGCAGTCCCTGTGGCAGTGGGTTGCCATGGGCTACTGTGTGTAGCCAGCAGCCAGCGTGAGCTGCCAGCAGCCAGCGTGAGCGGCCAGCAGCCGCCGTGAGCGGTCGTCCAGAAGCCGGCGACTGATCTGCCTCGCCTGGGAAGAGCGCAATGATGGTGCCAACTTGGGCCAGTGAAGCAACGTCCTCCACAACTAGACTGAAGAACAAAAGGACAGCAACTTGTCTGTTCCCCTTCCCACAATTCCCCGGCACTGTTCCCATCCCCCCAATTCCCCAATAAAAATCTTAAAAAAAAATGCTCATTTCATTTGTGGCCAATGAGATAACATTTGGCTCCATGGGTAACATTGTTCATCTATCTGTCATCTTTTCTTTCCTCAGAGGAAAAGCAGAAAAAACTTTTAGGGGCAAAATGTAAACCAGTGGTCCAGTGGATTTGTTTTGTTTGGACTATATAGTGTTTGAGAAAGAAATATAAAAAAGTTGCCTCTGTTGAAAAATCTGGAGATTTTGCATAACAATCTGGTTTTCCTGCTTCTCTTTAAAAATCGGGACACTTGGCCCTGGGAAATGGTGGAGAGTGTGTTAGAAGCTGCCTTGCAGGGTCAGGGGGCTCTGGCTTCACTTACCGTGACTCTGGCTTTAACAGCTGCCAGCTTCTCCTGCGCAGCTGCGAGGTCCGAGGTGGCTTTGCTCAATGCTTGGCGCTTGGGTTCCACATCACAGAACACCTCGTAGAACCTCACAATGTTTATGACCCAAGAGCAGAGGCCTGCAGCCGCATAGGACTTGGTGGCCACAAACTCCGGATTGAACTGGGGGTCCTGCAGATACGGCCTGATGGCTTTGAGGCAGTTCTCGTGAATGTTCTCTTTGTCAAAGTTGATCAAGGAGTCCAGGAAACCATCTACTTTGGCCATGGCGACCTTCGCAGCCTTCCAGCTCCGGTCCTTGGGTACCTTTCCCCCAGGGGCCATGAGCGCCATCACTGCAGCACTGACATTGCTGACAGCCAGAGGTGGGGAACCAAATGACTTCAGCTCCGTCAGGTTGGTCTGAGGAAAGAGGAGGAGGAAAATGAATGGGCTGCCTTTGTCCTCAGCCACTAATGGAGGTCGGCTCTGGAGTGATTAATCTGAAAGGGCTGCTTTGAAGCCTGCAGCAGCCCTCTGAATTTTAAATATCCTGACTCATCAGAAGGAGACCAAAGCTACTCCCCAGTGGCTTCAGACGTCCCTGAACAGTTAGCCGAGACTCAGCTATGTTTTTCCAGCACTTTCACGGACTCTCAGCCCATTAGAAACACACAATTATTTCACATTCAACTGAAAAGTATAAGGATGCCAACATACTCTGAGATATGCAGCTTGCCATGAATAAAAGATAAGGTTATTATAAATTAATTTTCATCCTGGATTGAAGACACTAGCACAGTAACCCAACTATTTTTTTTTTCTTTAATTAAACTGCTTTGTTCCATGAGCTTGTTCTAACTACACTTGACTGTCCTGAGAGCCAAGTGGTATTTTCTGCCAAAAAAGTTCCGACCAAAAGCTAAGTACAGCCTGTGCACTTGCTGCCTCTGCCTGGACGTGGGTTTGTGCTTTACTCTGAGTTTCACTTGCTCTGGGAAGACATGACTGAAAGTATTGATCTTGGCAAGTCACTGAAACTTTCCAGGCCTCAGGGTTTTCATCTGTAAATTGGGAGCAAGGGGACCCATTAAGCAGAAAGTGAAATTGTGTTATAAATGTGTATGAAGTGGATTTAAGGTTTCTTGTGACCATCATAAGAAGCCTATGACCTCAAAAGCACTGGCTTCTGAGGCTGATTTTGTAAAAGCGGGAAAATCTTGATTTCAAAGATTAGATCCTTGTGCCACATTAATTTGGGGTGCTCCTGTGCCTGAAGATCTACATGCGAGGGGGATTTTTCTCTAGTGTCTAATGGAAATACCTAGGAAGATACTCCGTTTGCTTTTGCAACTGTTTTCACATTTGGTCATGACACACCTGTCAGGGGTGGGAATGAAAGACAGCACAGGTGTCGGAGGTGGGCTAGTGTACCTGTCACAGTGGGCTCCACTGAGTGAAAGAAGGCAAAGTGAGAAAATCCAATCAGAAACAAAAACCCCACAATTTTAAAATGTTTTAAGTTAATTGTGTTGGATGTACTGAATTAAGAAAATATAAAAATATGTAAAGATGAAATTGAATTCTACAACCCACATACATCGTTGTTAATATTTCAATGTAATTCCTTCTAGTCTTTTTTATATTCATAAATATCTATAAATTGATCACAACTCTTTTGGTTTTAGTGACAGAAAACCCAGCTGAAGTACAAAGGATGATTTTCTCACTCCTATATCTGGGGAGGATGGGCTTGGAGCTGGCTGTAAGTATGAGAGGAACTCTGTTTTGAGTATTTGCAGGACTCTCCAGAACATTTCTTATTTCTGCTGCTTTTCTGCACACCAGTTTCCTTGTGTAGCTAAGCGCATCACATACTTCTCTGACCTCAACTTGAGTCATTTTCTCCATCTCTCACTGAGCTCTAACCTCAGTTGCCTTCCAGCATACTGACTGCCAAGCACATTCCCATCTGAGGACCTCTGCCTGGATCCCTTTCTCCTAAAGCATTTGCAAAGCTCATCCCTTCTCATTCATCAAGATCTCATCTCAATTCAAAAGTCTCCCCTCAGAAAAACTCTCCCTGCCAACTTCCCCTTTCTAGTCATTCCCTATCTGAGCACAGAACTCGGGGCAATTGGAAACAATGACCACTTTTTCATTGTTAAATTACTATATGCCTCTGCTTTGTGAGAACAGGAACCCCATGTTTCTTGTTAACCACTGTAGCCTCAGTGCCTAGAACAGAAACTGGCACGCAGTAGGTACTCATCAATATGTGTGCTGGACGATCGGATGGAATGAGTGGGAGCTCCAGGCTCCACCCTTCACTTTGCAACCAGAAGGCAAGGAGATTTGTTCTTCAGCTTAAGTCCAAATAAAAAGGCCCTGGGAAATGATCTCGTTTAGTTAGGCGAAGTTCCTGAGGCCAATCACCACAGGGCAGGTAATAAGGTGCTGCTAACAGGAACACATGGATGGAAGAAACATTTCTCAGAGAATGGCAGACGTGGTGTTGAGTGAGCTGACAGCAGGCACGCTCTACTGCCTCCACCCCATTCCCACGTGGGGCTCTTGTTCTAGCTGCTGCCTTGGTCTTGGCTGATTTTCCCAGGGATATGAGAGAGAGAGAGAGAGAGAGAGAGAGAGAGAGAGAGAGAGAGAGAGAGAGAGAGAGAGAGAGAGAAGAGACACCTGTGGAGGGGGAACCTAACAAGAGCTGTGATCTTCAGCTGAGGGCCAGCTGGGGCTAAAGGAATGAACACAGTAGTCCCTCCTTATCCACGGTTTCACCTTCTACCTGTGATTGACAACAGTCTGAAAATATAAGTGGAAAATCCCAGAAAGAAACCACTTGTAAATTTTGAATTGTGTGTTGTTCTGAACAGCTTAATGAAATCTCATGCCGCCCTGCTCTGCCTATCCTCCCTGGGACACGAAGCGTCCCATTGTCCAGTGTCTCCATGTTACCTGCCCAGTGGTCACTCAGTAGCCATTTCGGTCATCAGATTGACTGTCATGGTCACAGTGCTTGTGTTCCAGTCACCCTTATTTTACTGACTAATGGCCCCAAAGTGTAAGAGTAGTGATGCTGGCAATTCAGATACAACAAAGAGAAGCTGTAAGGCGCTTCCCTTAAGTGAAAAAATGACTTAGTAAGGCATTTTATTATCTTACATCACCACAAGAAGAAAGGTGAGTATAGTAAAAGATGTTAAGAGACAGCAAGCACATAACTTTTATTACAGATATTGTTATAACTATTCTTTTAGTTATTATTGTTTATCTCTTACTGTGCCCACATTATAAATTAAACTTTATCATAGGTATGTATAGGAAGAAACATAGTATACATATAGGGCTCAGTATGATCTGTGGTTTTAGGATCCACTGGGGGTCTTGGAACGTATCCCCATGGATTGGGGGGACCACTGTACCTTGATCTCACTGCCTCCCTCAATCTCCTGCTGATGCTCATCTTGGCCAAAGGTGACTGGAAGCTAGAAGACAAGGTAGCGTCTTTGATGCAACTGGTGCGAGTCAGTCTCCCAGGTCACAGAAAAAACAGTGGAGAGTAAATGGGCAGAGAGGGGAGACAAACAGTAGGCTTCCGGCACAATTTATAGGCACCCTTTACAAACTAAAGATATGAACACTTTTCTTTTTAAATTAAAAAATTTTGTTTTTAATATTCTGTGATATATAAAAACTTAGTTTTTATAGTCAAATTTAATAATCCTTCTCCAGATTATAATTACAATACTGTTTTTTTGTTTTTATGCTTATAAGGGTCTTCCACCTACATCAAAATTGATCTGAACTTATAATAATTTTAAAAATTCTTTTATAGTTTCATTTTTTTCTTATTGTTAACTATTTTACAAGGTAACACTGTCGTTTTATTGAAAAATAAATATAGATTGTGAAATACTGGGGGTGCCAAAAAAAACGTATACAAGTGGACACTTTGGTCAACGTTGCTCGAGCAGTAGTTCGCCGTAATCAGAAGTGTCTGGACGCTGATGGTAATCACTTTGAGCACCTCTTGTAATTGCATAAGTCAAATGTGACTTGTATTCATCTTTTGTTATTGGTATATGTTGGGTATTACAATTTTAATAGTTTTTTCCTTTCTTAAAATGTGTATACATATTTTGGCACCCTCTGTATATTTATTTGTCTATTCATATTTTATTTTATATCCCTCAAAAAAGATGTGTAGTTTTCTTCATATAGTTTCAACAAATTTATTTATGCTTATTTGACCCTTGTGTTTTGGATGATAGATATTTTGAAAATATATTTCCTAACTGGCTACTGCTGATATTGGGAAAGCTATTAAGTTTTATACATTATTTCATAATAGGCCCTTAACTGCTCGCTTTTGTTTTATTATATTTTCATGATATTTATGAATCATAATACATTTGTGTGTATTTTACAACGTTTAGATGACAGCTACTTTTCATTTATGATTGCCTTAGCTAGAAATTTAGGACATCTTTTAATGATAGTAGTGAAGGGGATCATGACTGTGTGTTTTCTATGTTGATGGTAACGTCTCCAATACTCTACCATTAGATGGGATGTTTTTGCTCTTGGGATTGATTGCTATCTGTTAGCAAAATATCGAAATATCCTTTATTCCCATTTTACTATGCATTTGAATAAGGAATGATGTTAAATTGTGTTAAGTACCATTTTGACATCTTTCAAAATGACTTTAGAGCTTTTCTTCTTTGACCTATGTTTGGGTGTGGTTATATGAAGTCTCATATATGGAAAAGTTATCAGTTGTAGTATATTCTTGTTATATGAATAGTCTTACGTATGAAAAACTTACTATTTGGAGGCATGGTAAATTTGATTTACTGGTATTTTATATAGATGTCTTATACCACTATTCATAAGTTAGATAATCTGAGGTTTTTCATTTGTGCTATCTCTATCATTTTTAGTATCAAGCTTATCATATAATAAAGGCCTTAAGAAGTCCTATGGGAAGAAGTCTATTCAACTCTGAAACCCTAGAATTTTCAAAATTATTTGATTATAAAATCTGCTTTTTATGTTACTTGTTAATATTAAGTAAAAATTAAATGATAGGGAGAAAATATTTACAACAGATACATCAAATTTTTAATAGGAAAATATTATAATGAAAAATGGGAAATCAATAAGAAAAAAGGAAACTACATATCTTAGAAGAAAATGGACAAAGAACCTGAACAAGTAATGTACAAAAGAAGAAATCCAAATATGTAAAAAGATGCTTAGGCTCATTAGGATAAAACCATTTATAAATTTTTACAAAATGAAAAAAGTTTGCTCTCTTATTGAAAAAAATTAAAATGATTGCAAACATCTAAGATTGGCAAGGATGTGAGAAAAGCAGTAGTCAAAACTCTAAACAAGAACAATTA